AACTAAGTTGGGGTTTTCCGGGAATGCAAATCTGATTTGATATTTTAAAACTAATCAATATAATTGATCAACCATAGCAGCATCATAATGATTCAGAAAAGCATTTGAGAAAAATGCAATATCCAGTCATGATAAAACTCTCATCAGATGTGTCAGCTTCTTCAACCTGACGTCAAAAGGGCATCTACAAAATAATCTACACCTGACATACTGAACTGTGAAAGATCGAGTGCTTTCCCCCTAAGACAGGGGACAAGGAGGGATGGCCCCTCGCACAGCTGCTGCTCAGCGTGGTGCTGGAGTCCTACCCAGTACAGTAAGGAGCACCTGGATCTCGCATCCACTGAAAACAGTTTCCCAGTTTAAACACACAACTTGTACACAACACGGGATTCCTGCTTCTAGGCACGTACCTTAGTGAAACCATATGTCCGCAAAGAGCATATGAACTAAAATACATCCACATGAAGAAGCCTTGTACTGGAATGTTCATAGCAGCTTTAGCCAAAACCTGGAAATAGCCCAAATGCTCATTAACGATGACTGAACAGAGCTATTGCCATATGACAGGGTGCTAACTCAGCAACAGCAAAGAATTTCTGACACGTGAAACGGCAAGGAAGAGTCTCAGAGATACTGTGCTAAGTGACATAAGTCAGACACAGAAGGCTACGTGTCCAATCCTATGAAATCCTGGCAGACCAGGGTTGCCTGGGCTAGGGGTGGGGGAGGGGATTAACTGCAAAGAGATCAGAGGGACCTCTTAGGTTAGGGATAGCAAAAACGTGATTATTTGGAAGCAAACACATCAAATAATCAGCTAAAAGAAAAGTGGCTATCTCTCCAGAGGGGAGAATGGGGAAAAGGGGGGACAAAGGGGCCACTCATTTTTTTGTATTAAACACTGTAGTTTTATGAAAGGCATGTATTAGTGTGATAAAATTTAATACCAAATATAAGAAGAACAGAATAAACTCTAAGAAAAGTCAGAGGTAAGAAATAAAGGGAAAAAAAAAAATCAATGACCTAGATCAAGGTAAAATAGAAAGGATCAGCAGAGTCAAACATTCATTAAAAAGTCTATTAAAGGCGCGCCTGGGTGGCTCAGTCAGTTAAGCGTCCGACTCTTGATCTCAGCTCGGGTCTTAATCTCAGGGTTTCGAGTTCGAGCCCTGTGTTAAGTTACTCAAAAAAAAAGAAAAAAAAAGAAGTCTATTAAAAAGCAAACCTCTGACAAGATTTTATAGAAAAAAAAAGACAAAAGTTAAGTACTATTAGAAATTCATGCTTCCATTCAACAAATACACACTGGGACCCAGTGCGCTGAGGAAAAAAGAACAAGCAAGACCAAGTCCTTCCCTCATGGGTCTAAGGATAGAAAGGACCATTTCAACACGACACAAAAAGCATGAAGATAAAGACCATTAAGGCAAAAGACTGATACATTTTACTCTATTAAGAATTTCTGTTAGTAAAGAGAAAAGAGAAGCTATAGGGTGACACACATATTAACTGATAAAATACTGGATTCCTGAATACATAGAGGACTTTTTCAAATGAGTAAGACAAAGATAAACTATAACAGAAAAACGGGCAAAGAATATGAACATGTAAGTCACAGAACACAAATTAGCAACACACGAAAAGATGTTCAATTTCACTAGGGAACAAGGAAATGTAATTTAAAACCACAGGGAGATACCGTTTCGCAGGAATGGAACTGGGAAAAACGTCTAACAGTTTCCAATTTTGAAAAGAATGTAAAGTAACAAGAACTTGCATTAACTATCAGTAATCTGGGAAAATCTAGCAGAGTTGAAGAAGCATCTACCCTTAAAGCCAGTGTTTCTACACCTATGAAGACACCTAAAAAAGACTCCCAAAGAAGGCCCATGTGTATGAGGAAACGTGTATAAGAATATTCAGTCAGCAAAGTCCGGAAACAACCTACAGGTCTACCAGCAACAGAATGGAAAAACTGCGCTATCGCCATTGAGGGAGTATCAAAGTGCAGGGCTACGCATCTCAACAAGGGCTTAAAAAGTGTAACCTGTGGAAAGGGATCTATTATACACTACATGGGTCAAACGTTAAAGCATGCAAAGCTGAACATGACTGCTCAGAGCTACAGAGAAATGTGGAAAGACCATGACGAGCAGCATAGGGCTGCCGGTACTACTCAAGCAAGGGGCTCTGGCTGGGGGCGGGGGGCAGTGACGCGGGGCGCACACGACTCCACGGGTGCCCCTACATTTTGTTTCTTCAGCTGGACAGTGGGGGATGGGTACTGTTGCCTTACTCTTCAAACTGTCAAAAGATACCACGGATTCTCTTTTGTATACAGAACGTACAGCCATCAAAATACATTTATTTTAAAGTAAAACAAGGAAATGACCACAAGCGTAGAAATAAAATCACAACCTGTAAGAGATATAAACAAGAGCTGGATCTCTGAAAAAAATTCCCAACAAATTTAAGGGGGGGGGGAACAGCAGATAAGGTTGGAAATGAGGAAGAAGACACAATAAAAAGTGTTAAATTTTTAGATGAATGCTATGCCCAGTTGTAAACGAATACACTTCAAGGCTCAAAAAAAAAAAAAACCCAAAAAACAAAAAAACAATAAAATAAAACCACCAACAGTTTAAAGCTAATTGGTAAAATGTACAACCAACGTAACAGAAAGAAACCTCAACAGATTAATAAATATGGAAGAACTATAAAAAGTTATTAGCACATGACCCAAATTAAGGGACCAGGTGGTTATCTGTAGCTTTACTGAGTAAACAGTTTCTAGGTGACTGAAGCTAATTTGCAGGAGGGGAGAAAATGAGTTTGAGGGTCAGATGGGTTTCAATGCTGGCTTCACCCCAATCCTGACTTGCCAGGAAATAGCAACCTTAAATCTGTCCAAATGAGTTAACCACGCTGAGGCCTGGTTTTCTGTAAGTGGGGTTGATGTGACTTGCCTCACAGGTTGTAAGAACTGAATGGGGCAATTCACATAAATTCCCTGGGAAAACACTCAGCATGGTGATGGTCCCCAGGGGCTCAAATGCCAACTCTTTTCTCCCTCCACTAGCGCATGGCCCAGAGAAGAGAAACCTATCAGAAGGACTTTTTCCTCCTACGACTGAAAATAAGTGTCTGTTCTAAACCAAGGGTAGTTGGTGCAACAATGGAGAAATTCTAGATGGGTTTTTGAAGTCCCAGTCAGTCATTATGAAGTGAAACAGAAATAAGAAAAAAACCAAAACTAAAAATGATCTAATGAATGCTTTAAGAATAGTAATAATTAGAGAGTGACAAGAAGGCAATAAGTATTTGGAAATGACTACCATTTCTCTATAGCAGCAATTTCTGGCTTAAAAAAAAAAAACAAAAGAGGAGATGGTTCTATTCAAAAGTAAAAATATATCTTCAATAGATAATGAGAGGAACAGCTATAAAACTTCATTGGGAAGTGTAAAATAAGACTTCTTCCCATGCCTGATCAGTGCTAACCACTTATCATCCCTCAAGAATCAGCTCAAGGTTTGGGGTGTCCAGGCAACTCAGGAATGCGAGGTGCTGGACCCTGCGGGTCGGGAAAGGCACCCGGGAGGGCCTGAACCATGACCACCTGGTTTTTTATGTCATTACCTACACCTGACTATCAAACTGCTTCTAGGCATAAAACTCCTTCATCTTCATATTCCCCCCACCCAAGTGCAAGAAAGAACTAGTGGTAATGATGAGTAATGGAAGAATGGATGATGTTATGCTAGAGCGGCAGGACAGTGGATGAATTTCTCTTGCTTAATTCCCCCACCCCTCTTCTTTTGTTAGAACACTGCCTGCATAATACAGAATGAAATACTAAAAATGCCTTAGCTTGGGTATAATAGAACATACAAATTCAGAATGCTACTGGGGTAAGTTAGAAGATATTTTTTTGGATAACTGAGTTTTAGAGTTAAGACATTTAAATTCCGGGGCACCTGGGTGGCTCAGTTAAGCATGTGCCTTCGGCTCAGGTCATGATTCCAGGGTCCTGGGATCAAGCCCCGCATCAGGCTCCCTGCTCAGCGGGAAGCCTGCTTCTCCGTCTCCCACTCCCCCTGCTTGTGTTCCCTCTCTCACTGTGTCTCTCTCTGTCAAATAAATAAAATCTTAAAAAAAAAAAAAAGACATTTAAATTCCATAACAGATTGGGTCCATAAATCCCTGCCTGTTTTGCTGAATGAAAAATCAGTACCAAAGGTTTTAAAAAATACTTTCCAGCCTACAAAATGCCAGCCCAAAGGGAAATGTCGTCACGTCTCAGATAAGGCAATACACTCCCTACAATATTCAGGAGCAAGGGGAGGGGCACCCCTACTCCCGCTCTTAAGCTACCAGACCCACAGGGCTCCTTGAGACAAGTAACCACCACCAAACTGTCATGTTCTCTGTATCCCCAGGCTACAAGTCTATGCCACCCAGCAGGTGCCAAGTGAGCGACCCGGCAAAGTATAAACCTGGCCACATTCTCATGGTGCTTCCAGCCCAGTGTGGTGCTGACAACAGGCAGAGAATAATTAAATGCTGGCTGAATATATGTACATACGGATGAACAAATATGAAGGCGGTTGAAGAAGTGTGCAACATTTAGCCGGAAGGGCTGCCTCAAGAAGGCAGATGGTTAGCCGGCCCATCACACCCTGCTGTGTGTAACCTGGCACGGTTCCTCACCACCGAGAACCGTGAACAGAGATTGCACCGTTAAATGCTAAAAGAGACATGGGCTGGTGGGAGCGGCCCGGATTACACCGGAGGCCTTTTCCCAACTGGAGACTATTAATCTACGCCAAAGAAGGCAGAAGAAAATTCATGGAGAGCAGAGCCCACATGCACATGGGGACCAGTGTGGCAACCAGATATTGCAGTGAATGAGAAGGGAAAAGACGTTGTTTCGCAGTCCATGGGCCTGGAGTGTTTGTGGGGTCCCTCCAGGTGCCTCCCACACGCAGGGCTCTTACCAAGACAGAAGCTTCCCGATGCGTCCTCCAGCATCCATTCTTCTCCTTTTCCCAGCTGGGAAAACAGCTCTGGTTGGGGTCCTAAGAGTCCTGTTTTTGGGGGAAAATGGACCACATCTGTTCATACCAGCAATAAAATCATTGTAAGGAGGAGACCTGGTCCTCGGGACTTCCTGGGAAAGGTGACCCGATAGGAAGGCCAGGGGACAGGTGAGTCCCCAGAAGGAAGAACAGACGGTTGGGGCCTGACACCGACCATCTGTTCCCATGTCCTTCTCCCCGAAGGGCTGAAACGGAGAGAGGATTCAACCTCATCGCCTTCGAAGCATCTGCACTTAAGACTCCAAAGGGGTCACATCCCCAGGACACCAGGGGTAGGCATGTAGCAGCCCTGAAGAGAACATCCTCCATCAGCCCACTCCCAGCCCAGTCTTCTGTGTGGAACCAGTTTAAGAGTTTGTAAGGGTCCCAAAGGGATCCCCAGATGTGAAGATCAGCCTTCGGAGGCCCCCTGCTTACCCAGTGAGACCAGGTTGCTGTAGTTCTCCAGCATCACATCCCTGTAAAGGGCCCTCTGAGTAGGGCTTAGCTGTGCCCACTCGTCCCGGGTGAAGAGCACGACCACATCCTTGAAGGTCACTGATTCCTGTAACAGCAAACCCCATCCCTGGTGACCTGCGGCGACCCCCTCCCATGGCTCTCTGGGAAGTGCTGAGCCTGGCAGTCCCCAGAAGCCGGCTGAGAGGTGCGGGACTGTTAGCATAGAGCGGACGGTCCGTAAGCATTTCCTCAGGGTGTCCTAGGGGCCGAATTTTTATCGGACCTTACTTCCTGTCTTGAAGAAACACGTATTGTGGAGAAGATATGCTTCCTCAGCACTGAGACTTCATACTTGCTGTTCATTTTGCCCTGGACATTTTCTCCCATCTCCCTCAATCTGCCCAGCCCTGCTTCCACCCCACCCCATGACCAAATCCTACCCAGGCCTCAGCCTCCACATTTCCTCCCGGGCAGAGCCTTCCTCAACTCCTGTGCAGGCCCAGCAAAGCACCGTCCCACTTTATCGTGAGTTCTCATTTACTTTCAGATTCCCCCCACTAGACTGTTAACTCCATGAAGCTAGGGACCGTTTCCCACATCTCTCTTGTCTTCTTGGCATGTCTTGGAGAACATGGCCCAGCACCTATTACTTGTTGCTTAGCAACTCCTGCTTGTCTTCGGCTGCTCACCTGCTCACTCCCAACACACATACACGGTTCCCACAGGAATAGTCATCCTGAACAATATGACCTGGTCCCCTCTGATCACAACTAGTGCCTTCCCTGGAAACTCTTGGCTGAGAAGCCAAGAGAGCTGGTGTGCCCTGAGAAAGAGTTAAGGAGACGCCCAGAAAAGAAAGCATATATACATATGTTTATACATATATAAACACATACACACATATCTCTCTCTATATATATATATACATATAGGAGCAACGGGGTCAGGCCTCCAACTGAGACTGGATTAAGAGACAAGCTCTTGGTCAGGGTGAAAAAACAAGCCCACCCTTTTCAAACCTCTACATTCAAAACTTTTATAAGGCAAATTGGGGGCGGGGAACTCTGCAGCAACTCCCCACTCACCTGGACCATGGTTGGCAGGTGCCTGACGGCCATTCCTTCTCTGATAAGCCCTTTCAGGGACTGGCAGAGCAGGATTTAGGCTAGAAACTTCTACACACCTGTTATGAGGAGAACTGGGTTAAAAGAGATCACAGGACAGTCCAGACTGAGGCTGTGAGCATTCACGTCCTGGGAGTCCTCCAGTACCCCGAAGCAGTAGATTCTTCGTCCCTATTTGCTCCCAATTCTCTCTCCTCTCTGAGGATAGTTCTGCTGGCCTCCACTGTAAAGGGAATCCCTCGGCATGCAGCCATTCCCAGCCCGACACCTTCCCCCAGCATCTGAATCAAATCCACCACATCTTCCCTTCTTTATCTTAAATACGTTGGCTTCTCCTTGCAGAAAGCACCCTTCAGTCCCAGATCTCAGGCTTTCTACCCACCCTCTGGCCTTTGCCCTTAAGTTACCCTGACAGGTCTCAACAGAACTTTCTCCCCTGCCTGGGAGGGGAGTGGAAGCAGTGGGGAAGGATGGTCTTCTTTCTCCCCCAAAGGCAAACTGAGAGGGCTGGATATTCACTGTCAAGGCCTCTCAGGCCAAGCCCTTCTCCGACCTCAGGCCTCTCCCCCTCAGGGGCCCAGTCTGGGTGACAAAGAGCCAGAGGTGGGCGAAAGGCAGTGTATTTGTGTGGCTGGGTGGCGGGAGGGGGCTGGGAGTCTCATTCATAGAACCCACCCTCCGGCCCCCTGCCCGGTCCCCGCGGGAGCTGCTGCTGCGGCTGCGGCTGCGGCTGCCCCGGCCTCGGCCAGGTCCGCAGACAGGGCTCCGACACATCCCGGAGCATCCACCCCTGGAGCGTCCACCGGCTTCCCGGAGCCGGCTCCTCCGAGACACACGCAGAGGCCCGGACCGCATCCTCCTGCACATGCTCTCGCACATTCCGACCCTAAAACCAACAGCCCGCACCTGGCCGTCCTCCCCTTTCCTCTTGAATCAAACCTCAGCCATACGTCCCGGGAAGTTTGGGGCATCCGATCGGCGTCCTCCAGAACGGACTACGACCCGTACCTACTCGGCCTTCTTTCCCCCCGCCCTTGCCCCCCCGCCCGACCACCCCACGGCCGCTCCCGCTCTCCCGACGCGGCTCTGGCCACCGTGCCTGGTCACCACCGGACTGCCCTTCAAGGAGCCTCTGCCGGCGCCGAGGAACCGCAACCGCCACATCGCAGGCGGAACACAATGAGCGGGAGTCGGCAGCCCGGGTCGGAACTGCGCTTGCGCATTGCCGGGGGAGACGCGGAGCCGAATACCCGCGAGTCCGAGAGCTGCAACCCTTTGGCTTCCCAAGACTCCACTTCCCAGAGGGCGAAGCGGCGGCGAACGCCAGCCGCTGCGCAGGGCGGAGAAAGTGATATCGTGCGCCTGCGCAGACAGGGCCTCGCCCTTCAAAACGACTCCTGGGTGCTTTGCGTGCTGAAACTACATTTCCCAGAGGCCACAGTAGGCTCGTCGCGGTTCCTCTTAGTGCAGCTCTCCCCGGTGCGCTAACCGGCACGTGAAGCTTTCGTTCCGTGCTAGTCAGACTCGGGGTCCGCCTCAGCCCTGAAGTAACGCCCGGGAAAGGTAGAGACCAGCGAGAAGTTGACGACGGCATAAAGTCTGTCGGTCGCCGTGGGGAGCGGATCGGGGGCGGTCCCCGAGGACGGAGTAAGAGGTGAGAAACCGCAAAACACTCCTTCCTGAAGGAGGACCGCGCGGGGACGACTTGAGAAGGCGGCGGACGCAACCCGTTGTAGCGGTGTGGCCCCGGGGCCGGGCGGGGGCGTGAGGCAGAGGTGCGGGGCCGGCGGCGGGAACCGAGGCGGCGGCCACGGCGCCCGGGAGAAGCGCCGAGGAGGTGGAGCTGACCTGGGGGTCGGCGGCTCGCCGAGGGGAAGGAAGGAGCCAGGAGCCGGGGGTGGTATTCATTTCTACGGGGGCGGGGCAGGAACGCGGTGACCTGTGGAAAATCCCACTGGGGGTGTTGAGTTGCCTTTGAATACACGTTTTCGCGGAGCTCGGGGAGGAAAGAGGAGGTTTTAGCTTTGTCGATGGTGAATTAGGAAAAAAAAAAAAAGTCAAAAATGTGACCTGAGGTTTGTCAGGGAACTGTCAGCTTAGGAAGCGGCGTCAGTGACTTACGTGACACGACGGCCTTCTGTTTGGGGTTTTATGGAAGATTCCATCCTCCTGACAGTTTGGGAGCATCTGTGTGTCAGGCACTGCCCTAGGGGCTGGGGAGACACCAGTGGAACCTGCACTTAGTGTTTGTCAGGAAACCTGTGACGGTGGGCGTGGGGGGGTGATGTTAAGTCGTGTTTTGGAAATCCTCTTTTGAGGAGGGAACACGTGAGCCGGGATTGGACTCCGGCGAGGGAGGAAACCGTGTGAATACGTGGGGAAGGGCCGTCTAACGGGACGGGACGGCGACGTCCCGAGACCGAAGTGTGTGCTTGCTGAGCCCGAGGCTTTCCAAGCCTGGAGGGACTGGAGAGGGCATAGTGAACTAGCGAGAGTTGGACGGGAGGTTTGAAGGGGACTGGGGGCCTTGAAGGCCATCGGAAGACCTTTGGCTTCGTTCCGTGTGTGACGGGCAGCCACTGAAGGAGTCTGCGAGAGGGTGACGTGGCCGAGCACATTTTGATAGAATCGCCGGTCAGCTGGTGGGGGCGGGGGGAAGAAGAGACTCTGGTGGGGCCAGAGGCAATACAGGGAAACTAGGTAGGAGGCTGTTAACAGCAGTCCCGGGAGGGACAGCCTCCTACAGTGATAGAACCTTGGTGTGTACACGGCGTTGGTTTTGAGGGCCTAGTGATTCTAAGATAATTTTCTGGATGCCGTGCTAGGAGTCTGGATGTTATTTTGTTTTCAGGTAAATGAGGATGATGAAAATATATTTATTTTTTATTTTTTTAAAAGATTTTATTTATTTATTTGACAGAGAGAGAATGAGAGATAGAGAGCATGAGAGGGAAGAGGGTCAGAGGGAGAAGCAGACCCCCCGCGGAGCAGGGAGCCCGATGCGGGACTCGATCCCGGGACTCCAGGATCATGACCTGAGCCGAAGGCAGTCGCTCAACCAACTGAGCCACCCAGGCGCCCAAGGATGATGAAAATATATTTATGGAGCACTATGTGTTGGGCATTTTTATAAGCACTTTACATGGGGATCTACTGTAATCCGAAGCTGTGCGGTTTGCACTACTAACAATAAGAAAAGTGAAGCACCGAGATGTTAAGTGTCTTGCCCGAGGTTTCATGTCTAGTAAGTGGAACCCAGAGTCTTGGCCCTGGTGATAGAGGAGAGGTGCAGAGACTGTCCTCCCTACGTGTTGCCCAGAATGACTGAGAACTGACATATAAGGGCCTAAGGCTTCCAAAACTCCTGAAAAAGTACTGCAACCTCCATGTTAATGACCCGTTTCTCCAGCTGCTCCCTCTAAAGGTTAATATTTCACCAAGTTTTGAGTTATTGCATCTTCTTAGGCTTCAGTATGTTTCATTCTTCTCTCCCCCTTGTCCTGTGCCATCCTTCTGACCCTTTATTTTGCGTTATCATTTTCATCTACTTTCTATCCATCTCTTCTCTCTGCCTCCTCTAGAAAAAAAAAATATGTGAAGGCAAAGGAGGAAACTAGGTATAAGGGACAGATATTAAAGATCTAAGTTTCCAGGGATATGGTTGTTTCATTCCCCTTCCGTCTTTGTTCCAGCTCCCAAGAGTGAGAGCTTAGGGATCACAGAGCCCAAAGAGCCTGACCTGCCCGGGGACCATTGCCACCCACAAACATCTCCTGTACCCATCACTTACTGATTCCCACCTCTCCCAATGAAAAATTTCCTTCCTTTGAAAAATGTTCCTATAGGGGTGCTTGGGTGGCTCAGTCAGTTAAGCGGCTGCCTTCGGCTCAGGTCACGATCCCAGGGTCCTGGGATTGAGTCCCGCATCGGGCTTCCTACTCAGTGGGGAGCCTGCTTCTCCCTTTGCCTGCTGCTCCCCCTACTTGTGCTGTCAAATAAATAAATAAAATCTTTAAAAAAAAATGAAAAAGGTTCCTATAGTTTCTACCTCTGCCCCAGTTCCGTTTTCCCACTTTGAGCTGCCGGTCCCCGCCGTGCTGCACCTTTGACTCTCCACACCTTTCTTTTCAGTGGTCATGTAAACACACTCATGCCAGACTGTTCATTGGCCAGATCAACACCTTGCTCAAACCTCCTTTGTTTTGCCTACCTCCACTTTAGAGGCTGGAAGAGTATTTATTTTCTCAGCCTCCTTTTCTACTGGCCTCCACATAACGCAGCTGTGGTCAGTGAGATGTAAGCTGAAGTTTGCTGAGGGGCTTCTGGGACAAACTTTCTTGAAAAGCACAGATGTGCTGGTGCTTCCCACCCCCGTTCTTCCTACCTTGAATGCACATACTTTACCTGAAGCAGAGCAGCCATCATGTGACCATGATGGAAAAGCCATGGAACTAAAGACATTGAATTAATTTTGTCTTTGAAACGATGCCACCCACCTCCAGATTTGTTATGTGAGGAAAAAAAAAATCCCTGCTTGCTCGTAAGCCTTGTTAACTGGACTTGCCAGTATTTGTAGCCATAAAGCTCTTCTGATAGATACACCCGCTCTCCATGCTGGTCTCCCTCTAGTTATCTTTCTCAGTGTCTCCTTTCTCAGGCAAGTGAATGAGTCCTTTTCAGCCTTTAACTCACTCTTCAACCCACTAATATTTAACAGAGGTTATCAGTAACCAAAACCAAAGGCCATTTTTAATTATCTTACTTTAACCCTCCATGGCATATGAAAATATTAACTATTCTTATGTGAAATTCTTTTACTTTTGTGCCACCATCTTCTAATTTTTCCTTTTGCGTTTCATTTTCCTTTTGGTTGCTGTTTCCTCTCAGCTCTCACTGGTTCCACTTCCTCCACTTCCCCCATTCAGTAACAGTACTCTCAGAGTACCCTTCACAACTGTCCTGCCACTTAGTCTAGTGTCTGTCAGGAATCTTCACTTGGATACCCACAGACTCATTAAAAT